TCCTACAAGCCGAACACATTTTCTCTAGATAGATTTCCATGCAATGGAAAATGCCAAGAAAAAAAAGGTGCAATTGTGACTTTTTCAAAAAGTCTGAGTTTCTTTCAGAAAGTCGGAGTTTTAGAAATCAACAATATTACCAGGTACAATATGAATAAACAATAATCACTTTTTTCTTATTGAAAGGAGACAATTAGAACCTTGTTTTTGTTTCAGATTGCAGCTAGTGTACCTACAACATACACTGTATACTGTATTATAATAAAAATAATAAAATAAAATTTGTAATAAATAAATATTAGAATTTGGTAGCTTTGTAAATATTCCATAAAATTATTTGTGCCCACAATAAAAATTAGAGGATGGGTCTTACCGCCTTTAATAAGAATTCTATAATACAATGAAAAAGTGCATTCACACGTAGTAGTAAGTGTTAAAACTTAACTGTCAACGACATAAACAGCAAATAGGAAATATTAATGTAGGTTTAGCAACGGACGGTATAAAATAATAATAACAGTAATAAACGTTTGGAAGTACCGCATTTTTTCTCTTGTAAATACTAGCTGACCTGACCCCACATCGACCCTACATCGACCCCACATCGACCCTATCAAAACATTCAAAATGAGGAGGAAAAGGAAAAACAATCAAAATGAGGAGGTGGAGGAGGGAAAACAATAGAAGTGAGGAGGAGGAGGAGGGGGGAGGAAGAGGAGGGAAAATAATAAAATTGTAGAGGAGGGAATAATAACATTGAGGAGGAAACATAATGAAATTGAGGGAAAATATTAAAATTGTGGTGGAGGGGAATAAAAAACATTGAGGAAGGAAAATAATAAAAAATTGTGGAGGAGAGAATAAAAACATTGAGGAGGGAAATTAATAAAATTGTAGAGAAGGGAAAAAGAAGAATTGAGGAGGGAAATAAAATTCCTGCCCAAAAAGAGACCTAACCGGCCCCTCCTATACTACTTATAGCTGTAATTGTTAGAGATATTTATACACGTTCGTATTTTGAACGAGTTTTTGAGCTCTTTGACGTAACGTGTTAAAATAAATGATTGATTGATTGATTGAAGTGAATGGTTTAGATCGACCCTGAGTGAATAAAGCATAATACAAGGCTTCATTAGTTTACATGCATCCTTGGGCTCTCAAATTATATATTCTATAAAAATACAATGTCCTGTTGAATGCGCCCTGAATACTGATTTAAACGGAACAGAGTCCTGCCTAATCAACCGGTAGTAAAACCTATATGTTACGTGAGTTTATGGGTTTAAAAACATTGCTTGAAAGCAACAAGGGTTGTTGTTGTTGTTGTTGTTTTTTTTACCCGCAATCTAGACAATTATTACTATTTTCCCAAACACGGGTGCGTGACATTCCCAGTATAATATACAAACAGGTCGTGATGACTTTCGCTTTGTTTTCGTAACTTTAAGAACGCCCGATTCTTAAATTTTAACGACGGGATCCAGATTCAAGGGTAACTTTAGGGCCCACTCTCTAACCGTCGCCTACCGGGTCCCTACCAGGTCCCTCTCCTAGATCCACCAGTATTGACAGTTGATTGGCTTACAGTTTACCTCATCCATTTCATGCACTCTGATTGACTGACTGATTAACATTTCAGACCTTTCCCTGGCCCTTACCTTGGCTAGTCAGATAAAGAATACGTTGGTGGTATTGCAAAGCTTGCGATTCATTAACATTAAACCTACACATGGGCACTTGCTGTGAACATCATAGGTCATGGACTAAGGACGTGGGAAAAAGTTTTATTCAAGAACCGACAAAGTGTTTATGTGTGTTTTTCTTGGATGCCTAACAACAACTGTTTTGGCGCAGCTGTTGGCGCTTAGATCATTTTAGGGTTTAACCTTGTAAAAAGCAAGAGGACGAGGTATATTTATATGTGTTCAGGTAAATCATGAATCAGAACTCTTACTAGTAAAAAACAGACTTATTTGAGAATTTCTAATAGTCTATCCCATAAGCGGGTTACTGATTCAAACGTGAAAAAAATAACACTGTCTTATAATGTAAGTCTGTCTTCGTGGAGCTACAGTTGCGACGTTATTTTCAATATAACAGAGGGGGGTTAGAACTAATTGTTTTTGTTTTGGAGGGGGGGGGGTAATGTCTAAGTTTTTGCTAGATAACTCTAGTTTTTCAGGCCCCCCCCCTCCTGATAATTATTGCACAGTCCCTTATGCTAGTTATTTTTTTAACTATCAACTAGAAACAAACAATTAGAACTCCAGATGCTTGCACTCAAACAGTCAGGAAGATTAATGGTGATCTGATTTCTTTTATAACCTAGCGGTGACTGTGATCTTGCAACTAAAGTTTTTCGTTGTGTCACTGAGATGTACATAATTCGTCTAAAACTTCGATTGTAATTGAAAATGTCACCAATAGAAGGATCCTTTGGTATTACTAGTTCCGGCTAGATGTCAGTCTAATATCCCGTCACGATCGCATGTGGTTGACTTTAAGGTAATTGAAAGTCTAACATGTTTCAACGTTATGTCATTTTGAAGGTCTAAGGAAGTTACCAAAAACATATCAGTTCAAAACGCAAGCGAATGGAATACAACTCATTTCTACCTACGAGTACTGGTAGACAAATACGTTTTCCACGCAATCGTATAAAAGGTAATGGCATCAATTTTTATGCTCCGGGCTATGAGGTGGTTTACCAAAAGGTAATTTAGGTGACTGGTGATAGAGGTGACTGCTTGATACAGGTCAGGTTTGAAGTACATAAGGGAACAGAGATCTGGGGCTTTGATCACTTAATAGAGGTATGACTGTCCGCAGCACCCTTTTGCTCGTCTTGCAATTTGATACCCTTAACAGTTGTTTCTATTTTATCAAATGCAACTTCATTAATATCATGATAAACGATGTCACACTGAAAACATGAAAGGTAACAAGCCTTCCTTTTTTAATTTCTATGTTCATCCTCACACGTATCACCTTGGATGGGTTCTTCTATCAACAGAACCACTTCCGCTCTGTATCATATGCTAATCTTAATTTAATCATCAATCATTTGAGGAGACATGACGGTCAATGGACCTTTTTAAAAATCGCCCAATGTAAAGGAATCTAAGAGAGTCTTGGAGTCTGGATTTGAAGATGGGGATTCAGGATTCCAGGTACTGGACCCCGGATTTTTTGTCACTGGAAGTTAGATTCGGGATTCCAATCGTTAGTTGGATTCCAGATTCCTTGATCTGTATTCCGGATTCCAAAGCCCAAGATTCCAGATTGCACAAGCAAAAATTTACCAGATTCCGGAATCCCTTACATGGGGCAATTCTTAGCATGCTTGTTTTGTTTTTCAATTTTCAGACCACGTGATGTTACCCCAGCGAACTGATTCTTTCAAATGTCGTCCTATCCACGTGAATTTGGATGCCTAATTTATTAAACGACTTTAAGGCAAATTTCCTTGAGAAAATCGTGTCATCTGAATTTATTTAGGAAAACGAAACATGCAAGCTTAAAAGGTATATAATCAAGTTAGTTCCCTTTCCACCCTGCAACTATAATTTAAATGAAAAGTGCCAAATACTTCCACTCAAAATTATTCAAATCTTTTTTGTCTATGGGTACCTGAATATGCATTATCATACAAGTCTTCTATTTCTTAAGGTAAGGAAAAACGGGCAACAAAAAACATGCAACTTGTCCTGCAAAATTGCTATAAAAAGAGTTGAATAACGATGTTGCGCGTTTTACCACTCACATGAAACCTGTCTTGTAACAAATAAAGTTGTTAACAGGGTTTGAAGGTGGGTGGTAACACGCGCAACAACGCTATTCAACTCGTTTTGCAGCAATGTTGCTAAACAAGTTGCACTTTTTTGTTGCCCGTCTTGCTAAAGCTTTAGTTTAGTTCGTCGCATGTGAAGATTGACGTTTGTCCCGGAAACGATCGTCAGACGTTCTATCCGTCTGGAAGGGACTGATAGAACGTCTTGGACGATCCAAACTCATTCAGACGAACTTAACTGAGCCAAAGGTCGAACTTAACTCACTTAGTTTGGTTCGTCTCATGAAAAGTGCGACGTTTGGCCTAGGCCTTAAAGATTGAAGGTAGCTTTTATAATGTTTTAGAAATATAAAGGGATTCGGCTAGGTGAAAAGTTTGAGTTGTCTTTCTACTTTATAGAGAGATTTTCGTGGCGTTGAAAGCAAAAAGCCGTTGAACAATGAAAACAAATCAACTAAGCTCATCAGTTGGAATATCCGTAATCAAAGGTACCCTTTAAATGTGTCAAATCAAGTTAACGTGAATAAGCATGCCTTTATCTGTTGTCGTAACTTGATATTACCATAGTCCTGTCAGGTGACTTCTTAATGGTTATCAGCGGTATACCCATTGAAAGGCGGTACTTGTCACAAGTAGAGCCATTATTATGGCGGGACTGGAACCTAGAAAGATGAAATTTAGCTTCAGAATGAACACAATGGTCAAGAATAAAGAAACGGGACACACTTCTTATACCTATTTCAGGGTGTTTGAGTCATTGTTGCGAAATTTTTTCATGCTCAATTACGCAATTTAGATGCAAGGCTCGATAATATTGCAATCAGATATAGAAATGATCAGAACTAATTGTAGAATCAGACAGTGTGTAGAAGATGAAGATTCGAATAACATGAAGGTTACAAAGTGAAAGAATTAGAGCCTAGTTTATTTGGTAAAATTAGGATGGCTACATATTCTATCGGAAGGTGCCACGGAAGCTTCGTATCCATGCAAAAAGGAGGGCGGGGTATTGTGTACTAGATGCAGCAAGACGTTATAAGAGAGTCCGTCCTTTACTTTAACTTTGGTAATAAAGTTTTTCGCAATATTGAATCAGAAGTATCAGCATCATCATCGCGTATATTCCATTTTAACACGGTTCTTTTAAACTGGAACCAAATGCTGATTATTTCAGTCATCTTGTAAATATTATGCTACATGCCCACTGATACATACCCCTCATACCCAGACCACTAGATTGTATTTCCTCTTCTTTTCCGCGCGCCAGGTAGATTGGGCCTTCGCCCAAAGTGTAGATGTCATTTTCTTGGGGACTAACTTCACGTCTTCGTCTGTCGCCTTTTGCTGAACAGCTTTTATTGCATATGGAGCCTGGGTCAGAGGCATTGCAAAGGATCACGTGACAATGAAGAAAAACAAATGGATGATCTGCAATAAACTTGAAGGCTTCCAGGCTAAACCGCTGAACACCAGCTAAGGGCGCAGAATAGTACTGTAAGGTTGTATCACTTGGGCATCTAAGAGAAATGAAATCAAACAAAGGTAGTACTACCTTTATACCTGAGTTAAAAATTAAGTACAAATAAAAAGAAATGAAGATGCATGCTGTGTCTATATCGGTTTACTTAATTGCTTTATGGGTTCCTGTTTTAATCATTTAAATTAAGTGCATGCCATACATTAGCGGCCGACTACATAATGAATTTTACGCCGCTGGGTCAGTTTAAAAACTCGCAGAAATCACCAAACCCCACTAACCCCTCCCCTTAAAAAACGCGAAGATGACATTGCGTTTCTTCGACAACAATTCGCTACTTTGAAAACCGGAAGGAAAATGGGCCAAATAAGTTTCGCAAAGACTTCTGGAACTTTTACTAGGTACAGGGCAAAAATGGCCAACAGCTGACATGTGCGTCCCCACTAACGATCCCAGAAACAATTTTAGGACATTTTTCGGTTCCAGTCCCCCTGTTTGCGGGTATCGTTTCTTAATGAACTGAGTGCATGTTTTTGTTTTACGGAGATTTTAAAAATTGTCATTGTACTAAAATGTATTTTTTTTATCGTACCCTTGTTTAATGAACTCATACTTCAGAGGGTTCATACGATCCTGAGTGGGTGTGGCATAACAGCGATCTGCTCTGATTGACAGCTGCTTGTCATCTGTTATGACAGACACTTCAAAGAAGAGGGGCTTGCGAAGTATCACTGCCACAGGGAAGTCCCTCTTCGTGTAAGGACTCACGAATGTTTTGTTAGGAAACATGTCAAGTGAGAGTGTCAGATTCCCTTCTCCTTCATTGCTAAACACAAGCTTTCTGTTACTTGCTTTCCAAACAACTGATGATACCACGCCATGTTTGCTGTAAAAACAGCTGAATTGTATTTCTAATTTACGAACACGTGTCACCACATTTTTAACAGCCGCTGGCATGTCTAAGACTGTGTTGGAGTACACAATAGCTGTGGGTGTGTGCCTGCTTGTTGTGTTACAGCCAGTCAGCGGTGTTGTGAGTGAAAAGTGGGTGTTATTCTCTGCAGCTTTACAACTAGTGTCCAGGAGTCGAAGGTGTTCACGGTCAATACCAAGGAGGAGTGACTTGGGAATGATGATGGTCATGTTTTCACTCTTACACTGCACGTTAACACCTGGAGCTAAAAAAAAAAAAACAAAAAACCAAAAAAAAACACGATTGTCACAAACGACACTCACAAAAACTAACTTGAGCAGCAAAGCATTCTTTGCGAACTTTAACATTTGGTTGGCCTATCTATTTAAGATTGCTATTGGATTAAGGCATTGAGTAGCCTGAGTGGCAGGCGTTCGAAAGGGAAGAGGAAGGGAATTAGGGCGCGAGACCGCGCGCGAGGGAGGAGGGAGGAGGGAGGAGGGGAACGCCTGGAAGGAAGCCATTGTTTTCGCCTTCCTCGTACTAATTAAAACAATAACAAAAATAAGACAACTGTGAATGATTGGCTGTCAAATAAGTCTGGCCGCGATTCACGTTTTCTAGTCGTATTTCTCTCACTGTTTTTCTTCTGTTTTCCTAAAACAAGAAATCTAAAGTGAAGGTACTATATAAAAAAGTTCAAATGCGGTAGTCCATTGAAGGAATCTTCCTTGAAAGTTGCAATGACGCGTGCCGAGTTACATAAAGCTAGCATATATCTATTCAAGTTGTTGCTGAAGGAATCGGGCTGGAAAAGTATTTGATAAGAAATGTAGCGGCTCTTCGCAACTTTCAATGCAATGTTTGTCTGAGAAAATTAAAACACTTTGCCGTCACTCTTTGAATTTCTATCCGGGGGACGAATCGGATCCAGCGGAGCGCCGTGGCAAAAGATCGCTCATAGTGGGGAAAGAAGAGAGCTGAACTTCGAAGATCTGCAAGAAGGCAGCAATTAATTATTAAAGTAAGTTCCTGGCGGTTTTATAACCAGCAAGAAGAAGTCCTCGGCCAAAAATCGCTGAGGGTTTTAGATCGCTTCGTCTTGAACAACTTTGCCGTTAAGTTGATAACGTGGGTCAAAAAGCAGACAACAAGCACACAGGCAGCATGATATTTCCTTTCTTTCTTCTAGTGAGAAAAACCGACAAGCCGTTGGGAGATGATACCTTTTAAAACTAGTCAGTAAAACTCATCTGCTGACAGGCCGTTTCCTTCATACGGTTTTTTAAGTGCTTTTTTCTATTCTCCTTTCAAGCGGATATTTTTGATGCCTTCTAACAATGAATTCCCGTAGAGAAATCTCATCACGCTTCACTAAGGGACCAGTCATTGTTTTTTATCCCAAATTATTCCCAGACCCCTACTCAGTAGCACCCATGTTTTTTAGGTATCCCCCCTTCAATCATGTTAAAAGATTTAAGGGCCCCCCTTTCTTACATAATACCCAAATGGAAATAACAAATAACATTTTCTTTACTTTACCGTTCTTACTCACTGTCACTTCCGAATGTGCCAATTGCATATTCTTTAATGGCATCTGTATCATTGAGGGTTATTTCTGATGAATTAACGTAAGCGTTTCAACTGAGCCCTTGGCTGCCAGTCATCAGGATCTCTGCAGCTACCATCAACATTTCTCACTGGCGTACAAAACACAAAGTCTTATAGTGTGGAGTGTTCTTGGGGTCAGGTATGGGTTGGGGTATTCGCTCACTCTCTGGTCCTACCCATGGATGGCTTTCACAGAAGTCGCAAAGACGACCATCTGAATGTTCACTGCATGCCCTCTTGAGAAACTCCATATAGAGCTCACCCCATTGTAATGTGATTCAATGAATGTGGATATTTTGTTCATATGTCCGCTACCTGGAATTTGTTCTCGCGAAGTGTCACTCTTTGCTTGATTCCCGGCGTAGCTAATCGAACGTTCGGTAATCGAACCCAATCGCTCGATTGGGTTCGACTGGGTTCGGTAATCGAACTTAACTTAAACTTAACTTAACGAACTTGGTTCGGTTTCGTTCGATTAGCTACGCCGGGTTTATTAAATGCCAAAATATTGGCTTCATTAAAGAAGAACTGATCTTCTGGCTTCATAGTCAGATATACAGTGATGTATTCTTTCAAAACGGGAGCATCGTGAATTCGTTCTTTAACTTCCTTTGCCACATCCCATGCATTATTTTCCATTCTTTTTTTCTCGTATTCCTGGAAGTCTTTCACTGACATCGATTTCCTCAGTCATTCCTTGAAAGCACTTGGTTTTCTCCCACTCAACGGTTTCTCCATCGACAATAGAATCTCCAATGGCGCTATTTGTCCGTTCAGCCTCGCCCTGACCACTATCACATCGCGATCTATGACAACGTACCCTATAATCTGAATTGTACAATCTTGCCATTTCAGAGTCTCTAAACCTCAAAAGATAGTTTGAAACGCCAACTCCTGGTCCTGCATCTGTAAGATCAGCCCATTTTGGCTTGACTTTGGGAAGCTTCAAGTTTTCGAAAATTTCAAAAAGACTGGTAGAAGAAACTTTGACTCTCGCATTCAGGATCATCATTTCTCCTACACTAACACCAGTAAATTCAGAGGACGATATAACATCTTTTAACTCATAAAGGGTGCTCTGAATTTGAGACAATGTAGGTATGACACGTGTAGCAAAAGTTTTCTCTGCATCAGTCAGTGACGTATCCATGTCAAACGTTTCTAAGGCTCTTTTGAGGCCCCTCTGTAAATGACCAACACGGCTGGCTTCATACAAACGGTGTGGGCACTCGGACTTTGTGGTTACTTTGCTCATATCCACTACATCGCTCTATCCATACATTGAAACAGGTAATCATGAGCATGTGCACAAAAACCGCGAAATGCTTCTGTGTAAGTGTGCTCATTTGAAGTTGGCATCTCGAGTACATCAGGGGACCTATGTCTCAAGTCAACAGTTTCACTTGCCCATGCTGATCCGGAACTTCCAATTATTGCCTTGGGTCTTACATAAACAAAATTATGATCTTCGTCTGTCTCTAATGTCAATCTCCTCGTCATCTTTAATCGAGCCTTTCTTAGTAAATATACGGTGTGCAGCTGGAGTAATATACACTAGCTTTTCGGGCCAGTCATACTTCGGTAACGCTCGTGCTCGATTAACATCAGTAAGGGTCAAAATTCTGACATTCCTGCTATTTTCAAATCCCTTCGATGTACCAGGACTTATACATAAGCTTTGTCATCAGTGCTGCGCATGAAGCAGCAGTTGCGGGTTTGCGTGTCTATATTGTTAGAAAAGAAAGACAACTTGATGTTTCTAATGTGGCCTCTTTGTAAGTGTGTATTCTCGTTATCATTGTCCTCTGCTTTAGGGGGCGCTTTTTGAAGCAAAAAAGGCCTTTCCCACAATGTCGCCGTGCTTGCAAAGATCTAATATTTCTAGGTCGTGATCGATTGTAAACGGTGTTGGCAGATCTAATCGCTTGTTTTCTTCTTTGTAAAAGCTTATAGTTGGCAATATCAAGATGGTCACTTTTTTTCACTCTCTTGTTTGTGTACGTAACGGTGTCATGTCGACGACCGTGGTATGTGGCCTTGTTTTCTATGCATTTTGCAACAAATTCTTCATCTTCGCTGTCCAGCAAAGACGGTCTTCCTTGTGAAGAGATCTTCCTTCTTTTAACTCTATTTTCTTCAAATAATGATTTAGCCTTGCGTTTTATCATCTGCTTCACCTTTTGACCCTTTACATCTGCCATTAAGAATTCAGTATCACGGATTCTATCTTGAGTCAACTCAATTTGTCCCTCAATTTTTATTATTCCTGCATCCAAGACTCTTTCTTTTTTCTGCTTCAGGCTAGTGAGACTTTCCAATTCTTCTTGGTAGGAAGACAGCCGTTGTTTGAGGCGCAAAGTGATTATGTCTTCAGCAGCTATCATCGCATTCTGCCACTCACCTGCAACATATAACACCTGATTGTCTATTTTAATTGAATCGGTGTTAATGCCGAGATTCGCAAGTTCGGAGTAAGATCGTTTGTATATAAGTAAAGTCTTCGCCACTTTCATGTCCCATTCTGTCTATTGTATCCAAAATAATTCTGAGTATGTCGCTAGTCAACTGCTTTTCACTTTCAGCTTTAGAGACAGATAAAGTGAATAATATGTGAAAAATTTCAGTTAAGTTTATGTCATCAGGCCTGAGTACCACAAACTTGTTTGTGTGGAATTGTGTGTTCACTATGTACACTGGTAGGCCATACCTATCATGCAGTAAGCAGTCTTGAAAGGACACTTTGTCATCTTTTGTGAGGGCTGATCCAGGAACAAAGCCTGTTTTATACCCTAAATATACTTCGAGACAGTACTCTAAAGAAAGGATACTCTTTCGAGATTCTTTACCATCGCTGCCGATTTCCTGAGATATAAGCTCATAATACACCGCAATCAGACCTTTCAACTTCTCTTACTCCTTCGCTTGTTTTGTTTTTTTCAATAACAATCTTAAATGTGGTAAAATTTGACTTAAGGAACAAGTTGGTTCGATTTTCTGACATTTTGACATGCCGTTTTAGAGTTTTGCCAGTTAAATGATCGCGCATCGTTAGAGCCACGTAAAGTCGCTTCATCTTTTCGTGGTCTTCCAGGAAATGGTTCTTTCGGTAATCCCACGTCAAAGGACGACATACCCATTTTTAATGAACTTATACTTCAGGGAACTTTTCCGATCAGGAGTAGGAGTGGCATAACAGCGATCTGCTCTGATTCACAGCCGCTTGTCATCTGATATGACAGACACTTCAGAGAAGAGAAGCTTGCGAAGCATCATTGCTACTGGGAAGTCAATCCTCATGTAAGGGCTCACGTACCTCTTGTCCCGAAACATATTCAAAGATAGAGTAAAGTTTCCTTTTCCTTTATCGCTGAACACAAGCTTTCTGTTCCTTGGCTTCCATTCAACTGATGATATCACTCTATTTTTTGAAAAGAAACGGCCAAATTGTATTTCTGTTTCACGAACACGTGTCACCACATCCTTAACAGCTACAGGAATTTCCAATACTGTGTTGGAATAGACGATAGCTGTGGAGGTGTGCCTGCTTGTTGTGTTGCAGCCAGTCAGCGGTGTTGTGAGTGAGAAGTGGGTGCTTGTTTCTATAGCTTTGCAACTTTTTCGTTGTAATTTAAGGATATTATTATCATACCAAGAAGAAGGGATTTGGGATGATGATTGTCATGTTTTCACTGTTACACTGCACATTAACAGCTAACGCTTTATGAGTCAATAGGATGTGATTCAGTACATATTATACGTGCAGTTTTTAGATGGTGTAATTCTTGATAACGCGAAGGGAAACTAGAATATAGTCATAAAGCAAGTTTTAAAAAGCGTGCAGTCCCTTTACGGACACCCGCTTAATACGGAGACATCGTGATTAGGGACAGTTTTCTTTGTCCTTGTGGAAAGCCCTTACATTTTCTCTAAATTCAACGTACTTAATACGGACACCTGTTAATGCAGACAACGGACCCTTTATTTGCGCAATCAACAGGTTCTCATACAAGGTCAACATCGCTAATGCAAACATTTCATTATTAACTGTATGATCTAATAGACCTTTCCTTCTTAAAGAAAAAAAAAAAAACAAAACAAAAAAAACAGTTGACGGCTTGCCGAAGCACCCAGTGCTAAAGAATACCGGATAGGATGAAATTGTGATAGCCCCTTTTTTTTGGCATCAAATATAGTATAAAGAGGACAGTTTTGATGAAGTAACATATAGAGAAGCGATTTTTGAGTGTTTCCTCAGATTTAGTCCGCGGAAAGACGGCTTTGTTAGTAAAGGTTATAAGAGATGTTTAATTTGATGATGCTTTCATTGTCCTCTTTTATTTCCTTAGCATTTTGCACTAATTAAAGGTGTCTTTTTCACTTTAATAACTTGACCCTGCTTAACATAACGGACACCCCGTTAATACTGACGGACACTTTTTACGGCCCCTTCAGTGTACGTATTAACAAGGTTTATCTGTACCTTTAATTTGGGGGGAGACGGAAATTGGAATTAACGTCTGAAATTTAATACGAAACATGGTGCATGCGTCATCAACGTTTTCTGTTTGCCAGAGGCAATAATAGATCGACCAGCTTGCGACAGAGAAATCCAGCTTTTTAAGTCTTTGCAGTGATATTACAGTTGTATTTCTTCCCGAGTTACTAAAAGGGCTTGTTCGCGGTTTTCGATAACCAAGGAAAAGGTATGTCTAGAAGATTATTGAAAGAGTAGTATAAAAGAGGCTGCTTGTTGACCTAGAGCGGGTTATTTTTTGGTTATTATCCAACACCATTCAACCAATTTGCAAAAAGTTAATTGCCATTTTTATTTATTCAAACTGATTTTTCTGTTTTCCAATTGCCTCAAATCCTTCGGCTAATTTTTCTTAACCAGCTGGCGTTGACCAAATTTGGGTGATGCGAGCAATATGCAATCGATTCGAAGGTATGTTTGCTTGGAAACGGGGTTGATCGATGGTATATCTGCCTTGAAACGAAGCTGCTTGGGCAATAGTGAACCACAACAATGGGGCTCACTGCTATCCGAAGACGAAATAGCGGAAGTTCCGATGAAAACTGAACAGAAGAAACGCAAGAATACGCAAAACATGAGACTTAGTATAGTGTGAAGAATTATTCAAATCCAGGAGAATCAAAGTCATCCACCGACAGGAGGCCGATCGCTAAGGTGCGTAACAACATTCGAGACCCTCCAAGTATTCTTGACGAGTGCTGCGGGTTTAGTGCAAGTGGTAGCCAAGCGAATTTCTACTCAACGGTCAGTGAATCAAAGTACCATCCCCGGAGGCCCAAGGGCTGTCTATCTCAGGTCGGGAGAGATGGCGCGACGAGATATTGAAAAATTCCGAACGCCTTATATTCCTGACACAACTGACTGCCCCTGGGTCTGCAAGGATCGGATGTGAACTTTTCTATCCCAATATAGACAGGAAATTGTATTTATTGTTGTATGATAGTTACCGTAGCATGTCTTATTGTCAGATGATAAGTTCAGTTCAGGATCAGGACATTCACATTTGTATCCTCCCGCAGTATTCACACATTTGTGACTGCAGCCACCCTTAGATACAGCACACTCATTAATGTCTGAAAAAAAATACCAGCAAGAGATTTCTTAACTGAAAAACAGAAAACCCTCTTAGCATTAGATCTTCTTTCTTCTCATTAAAAAAAAAAAGAAAAAAATATGAGCGATAAGGTTTAAGTAAGACATAAGTTTGGTTCATCTTCGATCATAGCCAATTGTAAGTGTTTGAGTTAATTAAAACCCACGTAATAACACTTCTAAACTACTTCTGTCGTACATATCTGAAGTACTATCTGCCTTGTTAGAGAAGGGTGATTCTTACTAGGAAAGCAGTTGACGATAACACGCATTTGTATTCATGAGTCGTTAGGGACATGACCTCTACTAATTTTTGGTGTCTGTCAGGACCAGTCATATTGTGTTTCACCATAATCTTACCTATACATGAAACAGTCCTATTATCCGTCCACTGACCATTAGACTCGCAATTCTTATAAGAAGGACCTTGCAGCTGGTATCCCTGTGGGCAAGAGAACGAGCATCTTGCACTGATGTCCACCTGTGACGTCACACATGTGTTCGGTAATGTTTCAACGAGTCGGCTGACAGTAAGTGCTGGACATCTTTGAAGCGATACTGAAATAGATGATTACCAATATCTTCAATGTATTGGTAGAGGCAGTGAAATTGGTAACGCAGGGGCTGTGTCACGTCATTTGCTCTCTTTCTAAAAAGTTAAACTGGTCTTCGGATCAATTGAATGTCAAAAAAGGTCAAATTTTTAAAACTCAAAATTGGATGCTGCATTTACTGTCAAACTCAGAAAACCGTAAAAACCTGAAAAATTTGAGGAATATTGATTGTGTACCGGCCAATTACAATAAAGTTCAGGATACGCAAGCAAACCTCACAGCCACAAACTAATTACCGTTGCCGTTTGAGGTTTAGCTATCTCGCGCCTCATTGGCTAATTTCTAATTTCTCGCAACACAATAACATTCCATAAATATTTCTGGTGTTCACGGTTTTGTGATTTTCACAGTAATACGCTGTTTGCCTTGCTTTTACTGTCACTGAGTCCCAGTTCCGGAGACAAATTCCTTAATTTGATTTACAAACGTACAGCCGCTCATTTGGCATACCTTGTACTGCCCATTGTATGGATGGAAAAAAAGCACAGAAAACTTCATGTGCCTCATGCCTCTTAATCCACTGTGTTCGGCACGACAGTGTTTTTCTCTTAAAGTTATAGCCACTTTTATAGCCCGAGGGGAGCTCCGGAACTAGCCAAAAACGAATACGGAGGAAACTAATAACCAAAACGTTGAATAATAAAAGTTTATCCGGATATTTTTCATTGAGGAAATTTCTCTTTACATTACCTTTAAAACTGTCGCCCTTTGCAGGGATGCTGCTATGACACCATATCCCCACTTGATTGTTGCTTTTAGCGTCTGCTCCATCTCCTAACATTGTGATTTTCTTGACTAACTTGTCGTTGACGTATATTTTTACTTGAGTGCCTCTGACTTCAGACCTGAGGTTATACCATGAACCAGAGTTTGTTGGAAAGCTAATTCTAGGGCTATATTCTTTTCCATTGCTCGTTATGCGCATGCTCCCACCCAAAAGGTAATATCCCCACGCCTTTGTGACCAGCCTAGATAAAGCAAAAAAAGAGGACATTGTTACCCCAGTACTGTACCATTTTTGGCCCTGAATGGTCTGAAGAACCAATAGACCAATTAGATGATTCAAAACGACTTTTTTTAGAGCCTCAATATGCAACCTTACCGAAAAGAAAAAAAAAACGATGTCAGTAGTAAATTTAGACAA